GGGAGAAGAAGCGGGCCAAGAAGATGAGGAACCAGCCGGCCAGCGTGACGCTTCCGGCAGAGCCGGGGCCCTTCGCCGGCGGCGGGGGCAGAGCCTGCCCGCCCCAGGTACGGCGGCCGGGTGTCCCCGTCCCCTCAGCCCCCGGTGTGCCCGCCATGGGAGTACCCAAGGCTTCGTCCCCTGCTATAGACTCCTTTAGTCCTGGTGCTGCCATAAATCCCGTTAGTACGGGATTCTCGTTAATATAGGAGAATCGTGGAGTCTCCCATCTCCAGAGTAATTCCAAATCCACCTGGGCACGTTTCTGTGTATCCTGCTCTAGGTGATCCTGCCTTGATAGAGGTGGGAGGTTGGACCGGATGATCTCCAGAGGTCCCTTCCGACCCTGACAATTCTGGGAATATGCGCTTCTTTGTATCATCCATTCGATTACACAACAAATCCCTGTGGTTCCTAGTCTTGAAATGAATTTGGATGTTATATTTCATCCAGCGGCCCCCCTCTTTTTCTGTCAGACCTCGGAGCTGCAGGAGGGGCTGGTTTAGCCTTCTGGCGCTGTGAATAAATGCACTGATTTTCCCTCAGATCAGCATGCCCGACCAGTTTGCCTCTTGGGGCTTGTGGCTCCTTTATCTATGCAAGGGTATTGGCAGGAGGCAGCAGGACGTGTCCCTAAAATGGCAGTGTCGCTGGGTCATTGCTGGAGCATTCTGTACTCAGGTAACCTTTGCAGCTGAAGACTGAAGGATCCTGCCGGCTTGTATGCCACATGCTTTTTTCATCTGTCTGTTGACCTGCATCCTGTATGCTTCAGTTGGACCTCACACACCCTCCCATTTAGATATATTGTTACCTAAAAACACCACACATGAAAGGGCTTGTTACTGTGAGGCCTTCAAAAGATGACAAATTGCGTCTTTGTGGTTGAACAAAAAAATGCTAAAGTGTCACAGTGTATTTAGGTGACTGAAGAGTTCCTAAGCAGACAGAATGACATAGCAAATTATGCTCAGTCATGTCTGAAGATTTTGGAATATCATTACAGCAGTACTGCCAGATTAAACACATTTTTCTAACTTTATTTGTAGCAGGGAACTTCTAAAATTACATGGTTATGCTTTTCTGTTCTATTAAATAGTGGATTTTCATCCATGTAACATTCTTCTATAGTGTTAGTATCTCAATTTTACAGGGCTATTTTGTAGAAACAGGAAAGAAAAATTCTAGATAGGAGTTATAAAACTATGGATATCCGTAGAAACTGGAATAATTTAAAATTTATTTAGGTGTTAAGTCATTCACTGCTTTTTGAAACACTCTTCCATCTTCTGATAAAATTTTTAGTTCCTCCATTGAGAGGGTGTGCTTGTGATATGAGTTAATTTTGGGCTGTAAGGCTACACAGATTTGCTGACTGAGGCAGCTTCCATTCCTCTTTCCCAACTATTTCCTTCTCACCTTCACCTCAGTGCCTGGACAGTGCTGCTCTCAGCCACATGGAAAACCCAAGTCAAGGACTTGTTCTACATAAAAGCTGATTTCTGTTTTCCACACCAAATTACTTTTTTAGCTGTACTACTGTGGTTCTGCATGATGTGTGGTTGCAGCAGGCTGTAACAGCATTGCTACTGAACGTAAAACTTCAACTTCTTGCTTATTTGAAAAGGAAAAAGAAGGTTCTTTACCATTTTTAGTTCACATAAATTGATGCTGCTGGAGGTGAATCTGCTCCTGGCTGTTCTTCGTGCCAATGGTAGCATTTTTGAGATGAAAGGACAGGCTTGTCTCACCCCATTTCTCTGCACATACAGATTGATTTTTCACTAGAGAAGTCCCTGAACTGTATGGCCCCATCTTCTCTCAAGCACTCATCTTGATGAAGTGGGTGGGGTGGTGGGAATGGCTGTCTGGGCCCTTTTTAGTTGGGTTTCCAGCTTGAACAGCCTGAGAACCATATCTCAAGCTATACTAGAAATCCTAACCAAGACTTAACTGAATATAAAGTAATATAAAGTAATATATAATGTTAGTTAGGGTGAATATACAATAATCATTGAATATGGACTTCATGGCCCTCTTCAACTTTAAGTACTGCTAAGTGCTCTTGTTCTATAGTGCCCGACAAGAATACATTTGCTTATAGGAAAAAAAGGGGGAAGAGGAAAACATAACTGCTAGTTATGTTGATAGTAAATCCTGACTAGACAATAATAAAAATCACTACTGATGTTGCATGGACTGATTTCAGTCAGGCTCTTGGAGGCAAAGTCTGGATTGGGTACCATTTTCAGAATGTGCAGAAGTTACTTAATCTACTGTAGGCTTGCTGCAGGACAGTGTAAAATTCTTATTTATTCCTGTAAGAAAGAACTTAATTCTTCTGATTTCTTATGGCTTTTTCAGTTACATTTATTAAGTATAATAGGAGGAATCTGCAATGCAGTTTCATGAGGAAAGACTGTAGAGTTATTAGTTACTCAGACTGCTTTGCATTCCTCTAACCTCTTTTCATCTCTAAACCTTCCAGGAGACGTTCGTTCTGAGCAGCAGCATCAGCAGCAGAAATTTTCAAATCAGTCAGCTGGGCCTTCTTACAGGAAAGACCAATATTTTCCAAAAGGGCAAAGTAGAGGAGAGAGAAACAGAGGAAGAGGAGGATGGCAAGGAGGATGTCAGAGTGTTTCTGAGGAAATGCCAAAATACATAACGGGTTTGTATATATGAAAAGGTCATAATTTCATGTCCAGGACAATTTTGCTGGTGATTAAGTTTGCTGTCTGTCTTTGGTTTTGTGCAAGAGCAAAAATTAGAACTGATGCTATGTTCTTCTGTTTTTCCTGATTTTCTCCAAAACACAGAAGTAGTTGTGAACTGGAATGAATGACCAGCTCTTGTTCAATGGGTCCTTTCGGACTTCTGAGTTGAAAAGTTGCACCTGCTTGTAGTGAGGGATATGCATTTTGGTTTCTGTTTGCCAGCAAAATGAGTACCGACAGTCATCTGCTTTTAATGTAGCCAGTGAAACTGATTTTACCCATGATGTAAGTTAAAGACAGCTTTTTATCTAACAGAACTTTTATTTAGGAGAGCAGATTAGCTTTGCAAAATGTGGCAGTGCTCTGATAGTGGATAGACCTCCATAAGCATAAAACAAGACCAAGTTCTGGATTTTTATTTGATCATTTTAAAACAGTCTGTAATGCGATTACTGCTTCCTTTTTTTCTCCACGCTGAAATTCTTTTCATCTCTCTGAATATCATCTGAAAAGATTGCTATTTTAACTTAACAACTGTTTAATGCAAATAGGACTTGTTGGTTATACTACGGCTTTCAGATTCATTCACATATAAATATTTGCTTGAGCATATCTGTAAGCTTCAGGATATCTGAAGAACTGAAATTTCCTCAGTAATAGTGTGCAGTACTTACTTTTATGTCAAGAAAGTATTGAACTGATATACTAGGAGTAATTCCATATTTTATGTACAGTATCCTCTTTGTTTTTTGGTATTTGTCATGCTCTGATGCAGTCCTTTTCATTCCAGTGTCTACCTTTGCTCAAGCTCGTGCTGCTGAAATCAATGCCATGTTGAAAGCGGTTTCGCAGAAGTCTTCAAACTCTCTAGTTTTCCAGACTCTCCCCAGACACATGCGAAGGCGAGCAATGAGTCACAACATTAAACGCCTACCCAGGCGGCTCCAAGAGATGGCCAGGAAAGAGGTATAAGTGCATTTTACAGCGTTTGGTATACTGGGCATAGCTAATGCACAGTGTTCAACTGTACATTTATTAATATTAAGACCTGAAATTGTCTGCAAAACTTCCCTGGGTACCCTAAAGTTTGAGTGACATTTGGATGCAAAATGCAGGAACACCTCAGTTTTAGGTGTTTGCTCAAGTAGGTCTCATTAACCACTTGGCTTTGCGATTGCTGGACATCTTGAAAAGTTATTAGAGTAGTGTTAAAAGGGTCCACTGCAGGAGGGTTTGTTCGGGTCGTGCACTGGTTTCAGGTGGTCCAAGAGTCCACAGTAAGACCTATCTGCCTTGCACCACCACAGTTTTAGGGTGTGACCCTACTGGCTCAAACCAGCATGGCTGATGTACTGCTTCTGTAGGAGCTCAAATCAACTGGTGTTTTTAATGTCACATGGATTTGTTCATGTGAATATACTGATGTGTGGCAAAAACTCAGACAGGAAGTAGCAGATCTTACTGTTCACTGTTAAGTTTCTGAATGTGTGGGGATTTTGTTTTATGTGTGGGTTTCACCCAAACCTTGACGCACTTCCATGGATGTCGCTCGTGTAGAATGTTTCAAAGTGTGTTACCCTCAAGAATTATCCAACATCAGAATAAAGTATAACTTAATGTTAGTGCTTCCTGTATCATTATATTTCAGCCTTTTTCTTTTCAGAAGTTTGTTCTCGAGATTTACTTCCATATCCTCTCTTTTAAAAAACAGGCAGAGAAAGCTGTACATCAGAAAAAAGAACAGTCAAAGACTAAATGCCGCAAAGCCAGAAGGCGCCACATAAACTTGGTAGCAGAGTTTAATCGTAGGCAAAGAAAGAATATTTGGCTGGAAACACATATTTGGCATGCAAAGAGATTTCACATGGTAAAGAAATGGGGATACTGTTTAGGAAACAGCCCTACAG